TGTTATATGTATATAAGCATATATATGTTTATTTTAAATAAGTGTGCATCCAGAAATGATTGAAAAATATACTCCACATAATTTTAACCTAAGCAAATAGTTTAAGTAAGATTGACATGCAAAGTACAATGTTTTGAAAGAAAATGTCATCATCATCATCTCTGTTGAGTATGAGAGAGACTTTAACCTAGTGTTCATTTGTCATTTGCAAGCATGAGATTATTGTGCAGATCTAGAGAAGTGGCGAGATTGGTCTCCTGTTTCTAGGAAAAAGAATAGATGGGCACAGGTGAAATCCCAAATAAAAACACTATGGCAAGTAGAATTAAATGATCTATATGCCCCTTCCCACACATTAAAAAGAATTGAGACTTATCAAAGAAAAAACCTAAAATTGTCTTGGGCGGTTGGTTCTGAGATGAGTCAGGCCAATCTGCTGTGCTGCGTGAGGCTGTAAGGGAGTCTGCCTACGGCACTGCAGTGGTCAGTTTCCAAAGGTTAGCCTCCAGGTTGGGACTGCGCCATGACCTTGGCTTCTTTATTCACGCACTTCATGATTCCTTTGCAGGATGGGGATGGGGAAGAGGCAGAGATCTTGCCTACAATGTTGGCCTTGGTTACAGCTGTGCTTTCGTAAAACTAAATTGCTGACATAAGGGCTTTCGTTTATCTGTGAATTTCAAGTGTCTGTGCTGTTCCTATCTGCATAGCGTAGAACTCTATCACGGCACATCCTGCTCAAATTGGCACATTTGCAAGGATTTCTGAGCAACTAGATGGAGTTATAGGTTTCTCCCATTTTGCTGGTTAATGTTTGCTCTCGTTGGGAGGGGATCAGTGTGTATCTTGTGGTTCTGCCTGTGTCACCTGAGGTCATCATTTTGTCTCTCGGGAGCTGAAAACACCACTCTTCAAACATGCACCTTGATTCCTGGTTGTTCATATATTTGGCAGCTTATAGATCCCATTGTCTTCCTTGCATATTTTAATCTTGCAACACATAAAGCATGGGAAATGTAATACCCACATTATATAAATCACAATAATCAGCTCTTGACAAATTTCTGCAAAATATTTGTCAATAGCTTCCTTCAGTGTCCTGAGACATTTTACAAAGAATCATTGTCAATGCTGGGAGAGAAAGGAAAATGAGATAGTTATCTATCCTATTTCTCCATTCTAGTATTGCATGTGCTTGGGAGCCAACCAAATTTCTAACAGGGTTTAAAATGTCAGCCAGAATGTACTGAATATATAGTAGAGGCTTAGATTAAATTTCCTTTGGTTCACTGAGATAAGCAGGGCTTGGGGTTCATTTGGGGGGAGGGAAGGAGTCACTGATCTAATAATATAATTCATTGCCCTCTAATAAATTTTTTCTTACTTTTCCTTCAATTGTGCCCTTCTGTGTTTTTTTAGCATATCCAGAGAGTTAGACTCTATTCAAGTCCATTAAATGGCATCTTGTTTGAATATGGTCTAAAAAAAGTTTCCACGAAAAAAATTAGTCATCAAATCACATACATTTCCCTATACCATGAGAAAATATAAATGAAGCAATTCAAACAATTCCTTTTTACTCTCCCTAAATTGAACAAAGATGTGGATTCCCCCAATGAAAATGAATTTGCTTATATCAGTTCCCGAACAGCATTACTTTGTTTGAAATTCAAATAGACAAGGATGTTTTCTGTTTGATGAAAAACCATTTCTACTCTTAAGTTGCAAACAAAGCTGCTAAGTTCCCATGTTACTCACAGACCCATTTGCGTACACCTGGAAATGCTCCAGATTCAGCCCAGCATGTCAAGAAGCACAGGCTTCTGGGATTTCTTGGGCCACGTCTAAGGCTGGAAGAGTTCTCTGCACCTGTCTCCCTGCTGATATTGGCAGGAGCAGAGCTGTGATTGCTGAGGCTTTACAACTTTTTTCCCCCTTAGATGAAAATGGCAATGTCAGCCTCCTTCTCTTCTGCCATCGAGCCTTTCTTAATGTCTAGGAGCTGCCAGTGGTCACTGGCCCAGCTCCCCTCCCTCTGCATAGGCTCCAGGATTGCCATAAAGGAGTTCATGTTTCCTCAGCTTAGGGTAAAGAATCACCATGATCATGTGCTTTTAATTCGCAAGGAATTCCATCTACCTTCTTATGTACATGTCTTAATTATAGGGACAAAATTTTATATGTGATTGAGATGCCGTGACTTTGTTGTCATACCTTGAACATAAATGAGTACAGTTTATTGTTTAATTCATGAGAGTAAAGTGATGTAAGTTTCATGATTATAGACATATGAACCTCGGTGGAGTTTGATGGAGAGTAGAGACTGGAACCTCGGTTTCTCTATATCTAACCCAGTGCTTTCAGCATTGTGTCACCATGTCTCTGTGTCACAAAATCATCTTGGGCACACGGGCAAAATTTTATATGCAACATTTCAGTCATTCCATCTTGGCCTCTGAAGTATTGTCCTTGTGCTAAAATAAAATCTGTCTTTTTTCTACTGTTTGCACAAGGCCAGTGCATGTGGACAGGCTGTGCTTCCCCAGAGATTGCAGAATACTTCTGCATTTTGCGGAAAGCTATGGCCAGGAGAGAAGTGGGGTAGGGCAGTGGTTTTCAAATGCTTTCACCACAGTAAGAAGTGCATTTCATATTGTGACCCAAATCCCAAATACCATGACTATGAAGATGCAAGAATGTGTATACATATATAACTGAAATAAATTCCATAGAAAAACACTCACTTTTACTATTTCAATGAATTCTGCTGTATATTATTTGAAAAAATATATAGTTTCTGACCCACTGAATTGATTTTATGTCACTTTTATGAATGAGATGTGATTCTGTGGCCTTACTCAATGAGGATGTACCTGGCTTACCTCCTCATGCTACTGATGCCCAAAATACAGCCAAGCATATTTGTTTCTTAATGTGGGACCCAGCCATACCATATAAAACATTTCATTGGGAGCCATCTTGGTTGGTACTCAGCATGATTAAAGGACTTTACTGTGGGCATATCCATGGGTGTGCCCTAGGAGAGCAGATGTTCTTTGAGGACCTGGCTTGTGTCTCCTCTTTCTTTTTTTTTTTCTTTTTTATTTTTTTGAGGAAGATCAGCCCTGAGCTAGCATCTGCCAATCCTCCTCTTTTTGCTGAGGAGGACTGGCCCTGAGCTAACATCCATCCCCATCTTCCTGTACTTTCTATGTGGGACACCTACCACAGCATGGCTTGCCAAGGGGTGCCATGTCCACAGCTGGGATCTGAACCAGTGGACCCCAGGCCACCGAAGCGGAATGTGCCAACTTAACCGCTGCACCACTGGGCCGGCCCCTGTGTCTCCTCTTTCAAGCTGCTGAGTTGTCTTTGGGTCCCTTCTCCATCTCCCCTCCCAAATAGGCGTTATCAATAAATGATTGCAGACCAGTCTGTTCTACTCCATGCTATGACTTTGAGCAAGTCTCTTAAACCCTTTGATCCTCAGTCCCCTGATCTATGAAATGAAGAAACTAATTCTAGCTCACCAGGCTATTGTGAAAGGCAAATGGTATATTAAATGAGAAACTGGTCTCTCAACTGTAAAGTAAATGTTAGGTATAATTATAATTTTACCTATAACACTGTCGGCCATGACACATTAGAATTAAATGTACAAACGACAAAGCAAACCAAAGCTCTGGGAGGCTTGCTGATGCTTCTACAACTCTCTGGTATTTAATAAACTAAACGAACATTAATATGTTCTAAAAGCAGATTATTAAACCTATCAGTATCTATATAAAGTTACATATTGGTACCTAACAGACCACCTTAAAACTTATTGACTTAAATTCACAGAGACAAAAAGTAGAACAGTGGTTACCAGGGGCCTGGGAAGAGAGAGGAATGGGGGGATATTGTTGAGATGATGAAAAAGTTCTGGAGATGGATGGTAATGATGGTTGTACACTGTGAATGTACTTAATGCCACAGAGTTGTACACTTAAAAATAGCTAAAATGGTAAATTTCATGTTATATATATTTCACCACAATGAAAAAGAAACACTTAGTGACTTAAAACTACAACCCTTTCAGAGTCCAGATTTGGGACAGGACTCCGCAGGTTCAGCTCATCTTTGTCCTATGTGGTGTCTCCTGGGACGGTTCAGATGGCTCTATTTACCACTTTGGTCCTGGCTCTTAGCTGAAGTGCTTCTGTTCTCCCCATGGCCTCTCAACCTCCAAGGCTTCTCTCTACATGTGGCCTCTCTCAACAGCTGGACAGCCTTGTCTTCTTTACAGGGCAGCTGGGTTCTGAGAGAGAAAGCAGAAGCTGCAGACCTCTTAAGCCTTGGGCTTGAAGTTCCAGAAAATTGCTTCCATCATATTTTATTATCAAGTGAGTTATTATGGTGGCACAGATTCACTGTGGAAGAGGACTACACAGGGGCATGAATTCAGGGAGGCATGGTTCATTTAGGGCCATTTTGTAACAATCTACTACAGCCTCCCTGCCAATTTGGTAGCATCTCTCCATGCTTTGCCTTATCTTGAATTCTGTTCTAGTGCAATATAGGGTAGTAGTTAAAAGGATGGACTTCGGCACAAGGCTTCAAACGTTGGCTCTGCCACTTGTTGGTTGTGTGACCTTTAGCAAGTTATTCACACACTTTGTGTCTCAGTTTCCTTATCTGTAAAATGGGGATGGTAATAGTATTTATCTCATCGTGTTGTGAGTATTGAATGAGTAAATAGGAGTAGAAAACTTAATAACAGTGTCTGGCACAAAGTAAGAACTATATAAGCATTTGCTGTTATTGTTGTTTTTGTATTTTTTGTTTTAATAAACAAAAAGAGGTAGTACGATGGCAAAGGGGATATTTAGGGCTAAATAAGACAAAAAGGCTGGAAACTCTTGCTTGTGTACACAGGACCTCCCTGCCTCACAGAGTTCTCACTTACATTTAAATCCCTTGCTGACATTTAAGCCTCTTTCCTTTTGTTCTGACCACAGGAGACATGGAGAACAGCCGATCAACATCTCTCCGCAGTAATCCCCTGCGCACCTGAAGACAGCTGTGAATGCTTGAAGATTTGCTGAGACTAAGCTGGACATAGATATTGAGTTGAGGTCCAAATGTGTGTAAATCTGTGCCTGGGTGCAATTGCTGAGTTATGAAGAGGCACCCCACACATCTCTTCACCCCCTTGGGAAGCTGGAGCCGTAGGTCTTGTCTTTCCCGACTACAGTTAGGGAGTGAGTCTCCTCTTTCTGACACAAGTCTGGAGCAGGAGTGGGAGGAGGAGGACAATGTAAGCAGGGGCTGGGAGGGGCCGTGCTTATGGCACTCTGCTGGCGCAAAAGAGCTGAGCCTAGGCACTGATAATGTTGAGCAGTTCATTAGCACCTACTGTTGACTGCAGCGAGTTCTTGCTGAGTTCACAGTGGCCGTAGTGCCTAATCCAGTAGGCGCTTTTCAATCCTCAGCTTCCTGGACGGCCCTGCAACATTTGTCATCCTTTCCTATTTTGGAGTGACGCAGATTATTGTGCAGTTTTTGAGTACTGGAGCCAGAATGCCTGGATTCGAGTCCTGGCTCTGCCATTTGCCAGCTGCATGACCTTGAGCTAGTTGATTAACTGGTCAGTTTCTTCATCTTCATCTATAAAATAAAATTGATAATAGTACTATCTTAGTAAGTTGTTTGAAAATTAAAAAAAAAAAATTGTGTAAATCTCTTAGCACAGGAGAGAGCCAGAGTAAGAATTCAAAATATCTTTTAAAAACTCTTCTCCATTGATTTCTAGGACAGTGGCTCTTCTCCCACCTGTTAGACCACTCCTTCTGTGCCTCTTTTGCCAACCCTCTTGTTTCACACATCCATGAAAAATTGGCAGTTCCCTTAAGATTCCATCTATGATCCTCTGCTTTTCTCATGTCATATAACCTCCTAGGTATAACCTTGGTCTCAATTACTATGTACACACTGATCCCTTGCAAACCTTTATCTCTAGGCTAAGTTCTCATTGTAGATATCTCTATCTGGATAGTCCAAGGCTCCTTAAATTCAAAAGATTTAAAGCCAGGACTTCCACCCCTGGCTATGACAGAGTAGAAATTGGTACCAGACTACCCATCCACCATTTAAAAAAAATCACTAAACTGGGCAAAATATATGAGTCGACTATTTCAGGCAGCACAAGTGTGTGGCCCCTAAGAGAAGAGAAGCTCAAGAGGTGAGCCCCAGAATCACTCTGGCTCTTTATCTGAGGGCAATTTCCTGACCAGGAAGCAGTGAGTTGGAGGACCAACTGAGCTAATAAGCAAGCAGAGACTGGAGTTTGGGGCAGCTGAGCAGCTGGAATCTGCAAGGTAGGGCACTGGAGAGGAAGGAGCTTTGTAGAGGGACAGCTCCAACCTGGTAGGAGTCTCCTGTGGGTATTTGGCTGAGAGCTGGGTTGCACATGTGTAAGGTAAGACTATCCAAAGATTACCTGATACCAGTTTCTGTGTTGAAAGCCACTCAGTAATATTAGAATTCAAGCAGTGGCGGGGCTCATTGGAGTTTTGGCTCAGCCTGAGTGGAAAACCACATTAACACTTTGTTAATAAAATCTCAGGCATCCAACTGGGGCACCAGAAAGATCACATTTTAAAAGTAAGGACTGTTCTAGAAAAATATTTTTCAAATAGCTTTCTTTAGACCAGCAGCGTCAGTATCACCTGGAAATTTGTTAGACATACTGTTGAAAATGCAAATTCTAGGGTCCCTCACCAGACCTACTGGATCAGAAACTCAGGGGAAGAAGCCCAGAAATTTGTGTTCTAACAAGCTCTCCACATGATTCTGATGCATACTAAAGTTTGAGAAGCACTTCACTGGAGGAGGAACCACACTGGACCAGCCCATCAAAGCCTAAAGCCGAGCCATGACGTGATCCACAGGGAAACAGAATTTAAAAGTTGAGCACACCAACTTAGAGGGGCTTGGGAAGGTATCTTGGACTTTCCAAATATCTGCCCTAACAAAGCAAAAGAATAACCCTATACAAGTTCAAAGTGGCCAGACAATAATTGAACTATTAGAACAAAAATCAGAACTCTCCAGAGGAAGATAACAAAATCTAGAACCCAGAATTTCTGCAATGTATCACCCGTAGCCTCTAGTATTACAATAAAAAATCACTAGACATGCAAAAAAAAAAAAAAAAAATAGGCAAACAAATGCAGAAAGTACAAGTTGACCCTAAGGTTACTCGCATATTGAGTTTAGTAGACAAAGACATTAAGGAAGCTATTATAAAGACAGCCAAAGAATTGAAGGCAAACATGCTCAAAATAAAGGAAAATATCTTAATGAGTAAATAGGTAGGGAATAGATAGACAATCTCAGCATAGAGATGGAAAGTATAGGGGCCGGCCCAGTGGCACAGCAGTTAAGGTCACACATTCCTCTTCAGTGGCCTGGGGTTCACCAGTTCAGATCCTGGGTGTGGACCTATGCACTGCTTGTCAAGCCATGCTGTGACAGGCGTCCAACATATAAAGTAGAGGAAGATGGGCACAGATGTTAGCTCAGGGCCAGTCTTCCTCAGCAAAAAAAGTGGAGGATTGGCAGCCGATGTTAGCTCAGGGCTAATCTTCCACAAAAAAAAAAAAAAAAGAAAGAAAGAAATGGAAACTATAAAAAAGAAGCAAACGCAAATTCTAGAACTGAAAAGCAAAGCAAATAACAACAAAATTCACCAGAGCCTTAACAGCAGATGGAAGATGGCAGAAGAAAGAGTCAGTGAACCTGAAGAGCAAGCAATAGAAATGATCCAATTTGAAGAAGAGGAAAAAAAGATTGATGAAAAATCAATAGATCCTCAGAGATATGTGGGGCAATATTAGACATATATGTAACTGGAGTCCTACAGGGAGAAGACAGTGAGAATGGGACAGAAAAATAATTGAAGAAATAATGACCAAAAATTTACCAAAGTTGATGAAAAATGTCAACAAATCCAAGAAGTTCAGTGAACCCCGGGCAATATAAGTACAAAGAAAGTCATACCTAGGCCTATCAGTGTCAGATTGCCAAAAAGTAAAAGCAAAGGGAAAATTTTGGAAGCAGCCAGAGAACAATAACACATTACACACAGGACAACAACTATATGAAGGTGGTCAACTTCTGGTCAGAAACCAGAAGACAATGGAATGACAATTTCAAAGTGCTGAAAGAAAGCATCTAACACCAAATTCATTACCTTCACACTCCCCAGTTTGCTCATCATTATCTCTTCTCCATTTGAATTACTGGTCACCATCCATTTGATTTTCAAATGGTGGCAAGTTAGAAAACTAGGATCATCCTAGATTCTTATTTCTTCTTTATCCTCACATAATCATCCAACAGATCTTTTTGATTCTATGTTTAAAATGTCGCTAAACTAGTAGTCCCACCTATTCATCCCCACTTTTGATGCTTTACGTCAGGCTCTTACTAGCTATAGTTTGAAGCTCAGCTTCAGGAGGCAGATTGCCTGGGTTTGAATTTTGGCATTACCATTTACTAGGTGCAACTTTGGGCACATTCTTTGACTTTTCTGAGTCTCGTTTTCCTGATCTGGAAAATGGGAACAATAATAATAAAAAACCTATCTGTGGAGATTTTTAAGATTGCACAGAAATATTCTGTGTCTCTCTAGGACAGTCCCAGGTGAACTGGGTTATGTTTGAAGGTTATGTTTGATGTTTGAAGGTTACAAACATCCTTCAAATCTCAGCGACTTACACCTGCAACTTACACTGCATGCACCCTGGACATCAATGGGGCTCTGCTTTCTACTGTTCTCACTCTGGAACCCAGGCTAAAGGAGCAGGCACCATCTGGAATATGGCCAGTTGCCATGGCAGAGGGAAAGCAAGAGCCTGACAAATTATGCTCTAGTTCTTAGTTCTTAAAGACTGCTAGGGGCCTGCCCCGTGGCACAGCGGTTAAGTTTGCACCTTCCGCTTCGGTGGCCCAGGGTTCGTGGGTTCAGATCCCGGGTGCGGACATGGCACCGCTTGGCACGCCATGCTGTGGTAGGCGTCCCACATATAAAGTAGAAGAAGCTGGGCACAGATGTTAGCTCAGGGCCAGTCTTACTTGGCAAAAGGTGGAGGATTGGTGGCACATGTTAGCTCAGCTAATCTTCCAAAAAAAGACTCCTAGTTGTTAAAGATTCTGCCGTTTCATTGGCTGGATTAGGTCACATGGCCACATCCAACTTTAAAAGCAGGTCAGAAATGTGCACTTTTACTCTATGCTCAGAACTAGGATGTGATAGTAATTAGCGTTGTCTAAATATTTCTTGTTCTCCTTTTGGACACATGGTAGGATTGCACTCCCCTGCCCCCTTGGAGTTGGTTGTAGCTGTGTGACAATTACGCAGAAGCTTTCAGGGCCCATACACAGTGAACCACCTTCCCTGCCCACTGCTGTGATGATCCCTTCTCACTGCTGTGGGGTATTTGTTGAGATGAAGCCTCCATGATCCTGGGTTTCCATGTGACTACGAGGAGCAGAGCTCCCCGGCCAACCTGCTGGGACATGTGGCATGAGAAAAGAATTATTTTGGTTGTCTGAAGCCACCGAGATTTTGTAATTGTTTCTTGTCACAGCATAACATAACCTTGATTTGATTAATATACTACCTTATAGGATCAAGGTGAGGATTAAATGAGATGACATATGTCAAGTCTTGACACATGGTTAGCACTTAATATGTGTGTGATTAACATTCCTGCTCAAGCCCATGTAGTAACTTCCTGACCACTGGTGTCTGACCCTGCCCCATTTACTCCCTCCACTCCACGGCCACCCGAGTGATCTTCCTAAAATGCTCATTTGATCATTCCACTTCCTTATCTAAAATCCTCAGTTTCTCTTGGCTTTGATGAAGCCTAAGCTGCTTAGCAGGGGTCAAGACCTTCCATGGCCTGGACCCTGCCTGCCTCTCCAGCCTCCTCTCCTGCTAATCCCCCAAAGGTCCCCTGGAATCCAGCCACATTAGGCAACCATTGTGGCCTGTTCCTATTGTGTTCTTTCTTACATTTCATTACATTCTTTCTTACGTCATCATTGCAAATGCTGTTCCTTCTGCCCAGAGTGCCCGCCAGGCAAACTGCTTGTTATCCTTCAAAACAGCTCAAAGATCACCTCCTCTATGAATCTACTTTCACATACTCAGTAAGAGCTAGCTAGAGCCCTCTTCTGTGCGCTGATTATTTGTTTGCGTGTCTATTTTCATTAGACTGTGGCCCTCAATGGCAAAGACTGTGCCCACTTCGTCTTTGTAGCCCCGGTGCCCAGCACTGTGCCTGGCAAGAGCCAAGTATGTGCTTAATGCCTGTTTATCAAAAGACTACATAAACGAGTATTTATCAAAATTTTGTTTCTACTACACTTCATTAATTAGGACACACTGAGTTGGGCAGAGTTTCTAGTTTTTCTTCTTAGGCACAACAGAACTTAAAAATAGAAAAGATTTTCAAAATAAAAGCAGTGCAAACTAAGGTACTTTGAGATTCAATATTTTTTATTCTAAAGATTCCAGTACTGATACCCAAATTCAGTAACATGGTTCTCACATACGTGGTAGCATAATGTAATTAGTAGAGGTAATAACTCTTACATAAAATTCTTATTTTTTGACATTTTGTCTACCTGAGACACTTTATACAATAACATTTTTGATGTAACCAAAAAACAAACCATCGATAGATAAAACACTTCAGGAATACATGTCTAATTAGTGTTCTCTGGCTGCGCTTTCTTTCACAAATTGTAGTTTTAATAGTCTTAAACATCTGCAGTCACTTTTCTGGAAGGATTTCTGCGGCAGATTTGTACTATTGCTTTAATCTGCAGCTTTCTTAAGAGCTCTTTATTTTCTCTCTTGCTAAGAATGGTAGCTTTTTTCTGTTGAGTTTTCAGAACCTTTTACCTCCACTCCTACCATAAAATCCTTAACCGTCACAAAGGGTACTGACTCAGGTTTTTCTAACAAAACTTTCCTTTCATGAGTCCGTGATTTGATTTCTGTGGGCCATAATAAATTCTAGAACCCTTATATTGCCCACTGCTATCAAACTAACATGCTTCTACAAGGCTGAGGTAATCCAATAGCAAAATTTCTAAATAAGAGAACTCTAAAATCCTAAGAAATATATTCTCAAAGGTTTTTAAGAATCAGATCAGACAGAAGTGGAGGTGAGGAGGGTATGCAATATTAATAAGTCAAGGAATCTTGAAACCTAAGTATAAATAGACCTGCATACACCCATGTGCAGTAGGGTACAGGGGCCCGGAGTGACTTGAAGAAGGTATTCATCTAGGAAACTGTGCAGGTTAAGTCTCCAGAGAAAAGAAAACATGGCTATCGAAGAGATAAATGTAGCTTCCAGTTGAAAAGGCATGACTCAGAACTTTAAAACTTCTGAGAAAAAAACTGTGGCACCACCCATGTGGGCTAGTCCTTATATCTAGGGTTGGAGGTGACTGCACTTAGCAGAGGGGAGGAAAGAGAGGGGCAGAAATTCAGTTATTAGAAGGCAAAAGGACATCTCCCGAAATACCCTTCTCTTCCCATACATCAAGGACAGAGGGTGTTTTGATCCCCAAAGACAAGAATGGCTTTCACCCTAGTCAGTGATTTCAAAAAGCAAATTTAAATTTCCACAAAAGAGTTTAAGGAATTGCACAGCCATGTCAACATGGGTTGGAAAAACATGTTATGTGATGTGGTAATTCCGCCAGCATTTCAGGTTTAATAGTCTGTGGAATTATCAAGTGGACCAATCTAGTGTTTAGCATACTGTGTCCGTGAGAAAACATGCTCCCAGTTGAAAATGAGGTTGGAGTACAGGCTGTTTCTCAATTGTGGCAGCTTGTATCCAAGAAGCCACTTATTTCAAGTGTCTAATACCTTCAGCAGAATCCGGCTAGCCACACAGTGGAGAGGGACTGGCAAATGAAACATGTAATGTTCACCAAAAAGAAATGTCCACTTTTATTTTTATAAAGAAACTCACTGAATAGATGTAAGGGAACAACAAAAAGAATGTAGTTTCTGAGATCAATTATTTCTTAGACGGGGTCTGAAACACTCTGAACACGTGGTTATTTATTGGCAATGATGAATTTGTACTTTAAAGAGAGGCCACATCAGATCACATAACAAAATT